CCTTAACAAAGTCTGGACAGTGTGTCGTCTCATAGTTATATGACCTTAGGTACTTATTCTGCTTTTGACTCTAAAGTACTCTAAAATTGAAGACTATTCTCATTGTGTTGAGATTTGAACAGTTGAACTCTGTGGATGTTTTTTTCTACAGTGGAGGTATGAAAACAATACAGCAAAAATCAGTGTGACTTTGGAAAATTCAAATTCTAGCTGTGTTCGATAGTCATTTTCTTTATGCATCATGTGCTTGTCATTGGTGTAATTATTTAAAGATAACAGAAATCAGCGCTAGTCCTTCAACTGGTAGTTCTTTAGAGGTCAGGGATGTCCGGGGAGTCTGGGATGGAGAACCTCCTCAGACAAGCGAACACACACAGTTTGAGGGAGTACTGTCAACTTTCTTTCTACCTTTGAGACCTCAGTAAGGAGTTCAAACCTTAAAGAACTAAAGTTAATTATTAATAGTGAGACAAACATTCTGTATATTGGGAAATTTTAGAAATCAAAAGTTAAACTTACAGGATAAAAAAATAGCATGCTTTCTATTGATTGAAACATACTCCATTATCTCAGAGCCCCTCATGCTTTTGTGAAGGGTCATCTTAATATTCTATTGATGGGTGCTGTGTGTGTGGCAGAAAATAAAACAGCCCAAGTTAGGCAATCAGACACATAAGTGCATTTAAGAACCTGAACAACAACGGAAATTCAGCCAGTCGTGCACGTCTGTAGTCCCAGCATGGAGGCTTAGGTTGGCTTGCCATGAGATTGAAGGCTAGTGTGGTAGTGAGTGCCAGGCCAGCCAATGTTACATAGCAAGACCTCTTAGAAACCAGCCAGATGCTGGAGGAACCTAAGCTGTTTCCTAGGTCTTTGTTTTTAATGCTTATTTCTATTTTCTGACAGTTTCACACATGTATGTGATGTGTTTTGGTCACTTCTGGGAACCTCCCATTCTCTCATTCCCACCCTTTCTAAACCCTTTCTTCCCAGCAAACTGCCTTCCTGTTTTTATGTCGTTTTTGTGTGTGTGACCCACTGAAGTTAGTTAGGGTTGCTGGCATGGGTTACGGGTTAGATCTTTTTAAAACCCATGTATTGAGATTTACTGTATTGTCATTCCTGAATAAGAATGTCCGAAACACCTCATTTTTCTTTTCTTAAACCCTTCTGTCCTGTAAGTCACTCTGTCTCAGTGTTCTATGTACAACCTCCATTGTTTTTCACTAGCATTGAGTCCTCTGTGCTGGGAATCATATGACAAAAAATAAAAGAGCCCCGGTGCCTCCCTTCTCAGGACAAGGTGTCATACAGCAGCGCTGCTGGACCCCTTACACCAGACCCCTAGCACTTCAGAGCGATGTGTGCGTGATGCAGGCAGGCAGCTGCAGAGCAGGGCTGGACGTTCCCCTCCCAGATACGCCTTCCCTTCCTTCCCTTTTCTATGTGAGACAGAAGAGGCTTTTGCAAAAGTGCTCTAAGTACAAGTCCTCTCCTCGCCCCTGTCCACAGGTGTAACAGCAAAGCAGGTAGAGTCAAGTGGGGAGGGTTCAGGTTTCTATATTGATGATTTTACTTGTCCATTTTTATTTTTCATCCTTAACAAAGTCTGGACAGTGTGTCGTCTCATAGTTATATGACCTTAGGTACTTATTCTGCTTTTGACTCTAAAGTACTCTAAAATTGAAGACTATTCTCATTGTGTTGAGATTTGAACAGTTGAACTCTGTGGATGTTTTTTTCTACAGTGGAGGTATGAAAACAATACAGCAAAAATCAGTGTGACTTTGGAAAATTCAAATTCTAGCTGTGTTCGATAGTCATTTTCTTTATGCATCATGTGCTTGTCATTGGTGTAATTATTTAAAGATAACAGAAATCAGCGCTAGTCCTTCAACTGGTAGTTCTTTAGAGGTCAGGGATGTCCGGGGAGTCTGGGATGGAGAACCTCCTCAGACAAGCGAACACACACAGTTTGAGGGAGTACTGTCAACTTTCTTTCTACCTTTGAGACCTCAGTAAGGAGTTCAAACCTTAAAGAACTAAAGTTAATTATTAATAGTGAGACAAACATTCTGTATATTGGGAAATTTTAGAAATCAAAAGTTAAACTTACAGGATAAAAAAATAGCATGCTTTCTATTGATTGAAACATACATTTTCTATGAAAATAGATATCAAAACAGCTTTCCAATACTGTAATTTGATTTTTCTGGCACCCTAAAAAGACAATAGACCTAATTTTACATTGTTGCAGAATTTTAAATTTAAGGTTGAGTTCCACTTTATAATAACTTGAAAAAGATAGTTAATGCAGATTTTTTAAAAAGTTTCTTTCCTTTAAAGCTTTGTGTCTTGTACAATGTGAGTTTGCCAAATTCTCTTCATCTGCTACAGATTAGGTATGCCCTTGTTGCTGCCATGTGGCGGCGCACCCCGTGCTTCTTAAACGCACTGACTGGAGGGTTATCGCATCACTTGTTCACATGCACGGAGCCTGGTAACAGCCTCATCTGTATCTTGTTAGCTTCATTTTCTTATTTTTTAAATTTCATTATTTATAAACGCAACATAGCATTTAAAAATAAAGGCTAGTCTTAATTACTGCTACTACAAAAAGTCGTTGCTAAAAATGTTCGTACTGAAACAGATTTTAACTTTTGTTAAAATGACCTATGTTTTAATTAAATTATGTTTTATAAGCAGGCCTGTTTTTACCTGCCATTTTAACTGTACTTGCCAAATTCTAAATGTAATTTTGAAAATTGAAGCTTTTGTTTATGTGGCAAAAGTAAGCTTCAGGACTGGGCTGTGTATTTTTATTGGCATGTAATTGTTAATATGAGCTTTACAAGAAGTTGTGTTTAGAGAGCAAAAGTAATCAACAGCTGCGTTTTAAGATTACGTAGTAAAACTGTTGGCACAGTTATGAATCTGATAAATCTTACATCCTGTTTTGTGAAGGTTTGTGGATAAGGTATCTCCTGAGTCATTCTGTTTAGTTTTACTTACTGACAGTTTTATTTAGAGAATTCATATTCTTTTTTTAAGTGTAGCATTTTTATTTCAATGTTCATTGTAAAGTTTTAAAAAATTGAAAAATTAAAGTCACTTGTCTATCACCTGTAGTAAGTGCACCTGCAGCCTTCTGTTCGGGTTGATTCCATTCATCCTTGCCTGATGCAGCATGTTCTCTTTCTCTCTGCAGACCCATTTTCATAACTCGTATCATTGTGTTGACTGACTTAGTATCCATTTTTCACACCGTCTTTTTAAATTCGCCAATGATTAGCTTGGAAAGAGGATTTTGGTGGGCTCTACTTGCCACGTAGTGTCTTCAGCTGTGATTCCTGTGATTCCTGGACGAGAAATCGGAAAGCATGTCCCAATATCCTGTTCTGATGTTCCGCAAAATGATTTAGTTAACTGAGAGTTTTTGTGGAATACTGCCCTGGAAATTAAAGCATATGATGCTTGTGGTTGAACTGCAGTGGTAATTTATTCTCATCAAAATATAAAAGTTCTGAACATTTATTATAACAGTTTGAGTCCAATTTTAAAAACTGGACTGTCCCTTGATCATTGTCACTTATTTTTCCCTAGTGCTGCTCCAGCCCAGGGCCTTGTACATGCCTGGTAAATGTTCTGCCACCCAGTTACAGCACCAGCCCCTATTTTTTATACAATTCAATATTTTTAGAAAGGCTTTATATTTATATAAAACCTTAACATATAATGCCATGACATCTTTTGTTATAATCTTCTGCTTTTCTGGGTGTCTGACTATGGTCAGTATACTTTTGCTGAGTTAACTATATAAATCTCTATTAAGACATTATCATGCAGAAGCTGATTATTTGGGAAATGCCAGTGTGTAGACCAGGAGTGTTTGTTAGCTCAGCTTGATGTTTATGAGGTAGGGCAGCCAAACACTGACCAATCTGAGCAGCTCAGAGATCATCCTAACCGCCTACAGCCATGCTGTTCATGTATCCATTTCAGCTCCATGGTTTATGACCTGTGGTATAGACAGTGACTTGGATTAGTTTTTTCCTTCCCTTCTACTTTTTGTTTTTATTGGTTTATAGCTTGTGTATTTACAAGTTAATAGTCATGTTCAAATCAGAAATGCCCAAGTAGGAGTGTTTCACATGCAAAGAGCAAATAGGATTATCTTTGCAGAATTACAGTATATATGTCTACATATGTATATATGTAGCAAACCAAGAATGGAATTCTTAATGCATGTAAATATTTCTAAAATATGTAAAAATTAGAAACTATCATTACTCTTTTTAAATGATAAAAATACTATCTTAGGCTGGGTGTGGTGTGGTGCACACCTTTAATCCCAGCACTTGAGAGGCAGAGGCAGGTGAATCTCTGTGAGTTCCAGGCCAGCTGGGGCTACAGGGAAACACTGTCTCAAAAAGACCCCCCCCCAAAAAAAAAAAAGCTACCTTAGTTCTGCTAAGATATGGGAAACTAGGTTATGCAGTGTTCTAGATAAATCAAAAAATTTGATAGCAAGTGTTAGTACAGAATTACTGTAAGATTTACAGAATTCAGGTTTTTGGGTTATACTTGATTTTTATACATAGATAAGCTTGCCAAATTATTATTAGAGCATTGTAGATCAAGTTTTTTAAGATAGTTTAACAGTTTCAAGGCAGTTATTTCTAATTAAACTTGAATTTTAAGTTACCGATGCCCCCTTGTGGTAAGAAACAGATCCTGCTTCTGCTAGAACTTGGAAAGGCTGTTTCTACTTTATGTTAACAATGGAGACAGTATAGTATTGGTGAAAAGCTGTTGATCTTTTGAACTCTGTAAAGCTCATTGCCACAGAACTCACAGCCTGGCCCTGCGTTGTCTCAGAGTGCATGTAACCAAGCACACGCATTGAGACAGAAATGGGAAACGCTCTAATTGCAAATAGCTTAGGGGTTTTCTGACCCATATGTGAGTTCTTATTTGCTTTGTTTTTGTGTCTTACATAGGCGATGTCCAGTTCATTGATTATGAGTATTCTGGATACAACTACCTGGCATATGATATCGGAAATCATTTCAATGAATTTGCAGGTGAGATCCAAGCCTTTAACTGTTGAAGTAATGCATTTAATTTGAAATGATACTTCATGTGTCTGGCACACAGCATGGGGCTGCAGCAGGCCCTCATGGCTTGGCTTCGTTCTGTTTTATCCATTTCTGGAGAAAAGAGATGCCAAGATGTCTTCTTGAGTGGCCGTCAGCAACCAGTGGCCAGGAAGGAAGGAAGGACTGGCTTGTGGTAAGAGTCCAGTGCATTGCGCTCATGAGCGCTGCTCTGGGTCACTGTCCGCTGCAGAGGTGAAGAAGGAACTTGCTGGGATTTGAAACCAGTTTTTGGTCCTGTGAAAGCCTGTGCTGCGGCTCGGGGTCTTGGCTCAGTGTTATATTACTTGGCCTGAATTTAGGATTGTCCTAAAATGAAAGATTAAGAACTCCCTCTGTATGGTTTATATCTGGTGAGAGTAGTTCACCACTCGACTTGAATTTGTTAGATATTCATGTATTCGTGTTTTTTGTGTGTTTCAGGTTACCAGATTAATAGATAGAGTTGGAAAAATGTTTTGATTTATGTGTCTAATGACTTTGGTCAACCTTAGCACACAGGTGCCAAGCCCCATGTGTGTTCTCCTGTTTTTGAATGTCTGGTCGGAGGAGGGAAATGGGAGTGGGTGTCACCTTCTAGTCACTGTTGAGCTGGGAAGGGGGAGGCCAGAGATCTTTAACTTTGTGGGAAAAAAGTGAACTAAAACCTGACTGCTGGTGGGATTTGCAGATGGGGATAAGAGTTTGAGTTGGGATATAAAATTCTTGAAGGAGAAGTGGGAGTTCCAAGGTTACAGAGGTTGGTTTAGATTACCAGACAGTAAGTAGAGGAGAAACTGTTAGACTCTAGGTCATGAGACAGCGGTGAGGACCCACCGTCCCTTCTTTATCCCCCCTTTGCTCCCTCCCTCCCCTCCCTCCCTCCAAAAGCAAGAAATGGAAAAGACAGGAATAGGAAATACAGAGCTCAAAGATACAGTTTGAGTAAATTTTGCTTTTTGAGACTTGTTGACAGTTGAGAGTGTAACTAAAGGTTCCAGTACAAATATATTTACTAGGAGTTATGGTCAAAGCTTTGGAGCCACAGTTTGGGGTAATCTTGAAACCCTTAATGCTGAGGAACACCCAGGGTGCTTGTTAGGATGCTGGTGGGGGTTCTGCTGTGGAGGGTCGAACTGTACCTTTGATTAAAAATTGAAGCAGTGACAGTGACCTCGGGGGACTAACAGTTGTGAGCCCCGGAGTTTAACTGGAATTTGGACAGATGGGTTCATTGTTCAGTACATCTGGCGTTGCAGGCAGAAATGGAAATGTTTCATTATTTTTCAATTAAAAAAAATGTTGGAGGTGGGAGTTCCTAGCTCCCATACTAACTCGGGTGCGTGTTGACGAGTATTTCCTAACTAGTCTGTTTTTCCTCTTAAGGTGTCAGTGATGTAGACTATAGTCTCTATCCAGATAGAGAACTGCAGGGCCAGTGGCTACGCTCTTACCTCGAAGCCTACAAAGAATATAAGGGCTTTGGCACTGAAGTCACTGAAAAGGAAGTAGAAACACTCTTCATTCAAGTCAACCAGTTTGCATTGGTAAGTTTAAATGCAATCAATAATTAATAATTGAAAATTCCTTCCTTCCTTCCTTCCTTCCTTCCTTCCTTCCTTCCTTCCTTCCTTCCTCTCCCCCCCTTCTTCCCTCCCTTTCTATTTCTCTCTCTCTTTTTCTTTCCCCCCCCCCCCCCCCCTTTCTTTTTTGAGATAGGTCTTCCTGTAGCCCCAGCTGGCCTGGAAACTCACTATGTAGACTAGGCTGTGGCCTCAATCTCATGGAGATCTGCCTGCCTCTGCTTCCTGAGTGCTGGATCTGAAGGCGTGTGCCACCATACTCAGCTTCTGAGATAGTTTTTATTGTTGGTTTTTGTTGGTTTTGTTGGTTTTTATTGTGGTTTTTGTTGTTGTTACTGGTCAGAATAATGGACATTGTTTTTAAAGACACTTTTGTTGTTTTATTCTCCTTTCCATCTCCAGCCTTAGATTTGGCCATATGGTACTATTTGGGAATTGTTTACTGAATTGACTCCTCAGTCTTAGGACTAATATATAAAGTGTTTAAATGACCATTCTCTCTCTTTATGTTACAAAGCATAACCAAGAGAAGTTTTAGGAGAAAGGCGTGGTTTCTACGATACACCTAATTTACATCTTAACACATAATGGAGATGGGAAGGATCAGCAGGATTGTGCTTTTATTTTTCAAAAACGTGGACTTAATCTCTGTCTTCTTGACCTTCAAGAATTTGAAAAATATTTTTATTTTATGTATACGAGTATATTGTGTGCATGTATATAAGTGCATGCATGCTGTGCAGTGCCTGAGGTGGTCAGAAGTGGGTGTTGAATCCCCTGGAACTGGAGCTACAGATGGTTGTTAGCCGCCATGTGGCTGTTTAACAGCCAAGCACTCTTAACTGCTGAGCCATCTCTCCAGCCCCTTCTTGACCTTTTCTTGATAAGCAGTTGTTTTGTACTTCTTTGCTATCTTAGTGATTTTTTTTTTTTTTTTTTTTTTTTGGTCTTTTTGAGACGGGGTCTCCCTGTAGTCCCAGCTGGCCTGGAACTACTATGTAGACCAGGCTGGCCTCAAACTCACAGAGATTTGCCTACCTCTGCCTCCTGAGTGCTGAAATTTAAAGGCATGTGCCCAACTTCAGTGATTATTTTTAAGACTCACTTTTCCTTTACATGGATTTTTTTGTCTTTTTGAGACAGGGTCTCCCTGTAGTCCCAGCTCTCCTGGAACTCACTATGTAGACCAGGCTGGTGTTGAATTCACAGAGATCTGCCTGCCTCTTCCAAGTTCTGGGACTAAAGGCGTGCGCCACCATACCTGGCATGGATTTATTTTTAAGTACTCAATTATCTGAGAATAATGTGATGTGTGAACACAGCCTGCAACTAAGGCGGCAAGACATTGAAAAACCAGGTCAAAGTACTTTAACTGGTTCTTTGTAAGTTTAATGTAATGCTGTAAAATTGACACCGGTGTGCTTCGCCATGTTGCCTTCACAAATAGATTGTCTTGGTGATACAAAACTGGACGTTCGTAGTCTAGGAGCTGCAAGGATTTCTTCAGACTCTCGGAAAATCAAGTGAACAGTTGTGCTCAGATGGGACTTCCTGCTGCTCTGGTGCTGGCTTTTGGTGGAGCTGTTGGTTCAGTTAATGACATGGCCTCCAGCTGGTCTAGGACGTGCACTGTTTCTATTTAAAGTGTGGTCCTAATAAAGTAGATAATGTGCCATTTCTTTCTTGTTAGGTCACTTAAAGAGCTTCAGAGCCAACCTAATATTCCTGTTTGGATGGTTTCTGGATTGACATGAGGATTATTGTTGCTTTAATTTTCATTTCCACATCTGTCCATTGACATTTTCATTCTTTAATTTTTTCTTTTTTTATGTGTATGAGTGTCTTGCCTGCATGTATTCAAGTGCACCTGTGTCGTGCAGTGCCTGCAGAAGTCAGATGAGGGCTTCGGATCCTCTGGAACTGGAGTTACTCACGATTGTTAGCTGCCATGTAGGTGCTGGGGCCGGAACCCAGGTCTTCCGCAAGAGCAGCCAATGCTCTTAACTGCTGAGCCATCCCTCCAGCCCCCTGAATTTTCAATCTTAAGCCATTGAATTTTTTCTGCAAGAGCAAATGCCATCTCTCCAGCCCTCAGGATGGTATTATCATTGACTTTTGTGATACACCTGTGTGGTTGAAAGTAAGATTATTAGTGGATGCTTCATGAGTCACACAACTTGCTACCACATAAAAGAAATTTCTGTCCCTCATGGTGCTTAAAGCAGGGGAGGAAGACATGAGGCTGTTTCACAGGGAATGTGTTGATAGAGCGGCAGAGAGTGACGTGAATTCCAAAACAGTTAGTTGCTTTCACAGGATTAAAACGAGTGTCAGTGGAAAGTGTGCTCTTCTCATTAAAGGTTGAGGTGTATCTTCTTACCAGCGTAAACCCAGCTTGGCAGTGGGTGTCTGTGGCGCTTTGGTGCCAGAGGTCTATGTGAGCACCAGTAGCCTCCAGACAGGCTTCAGAGCTCCATGGCCTGTCATAGCCTGAGCTCTAGCTAGAGTTAGAGTGTTTACAGGCAGCCAGGACAAGTATGACCCTAGTCATAGCCCAGGGTCGTGTGGGGCTTCATGCTCATTGCTCCCACAAAATGCCTGACAGAAATAACTGAAGGGAGTAAGGGATTTCATTCTGTCGGCCCTGGGAAGGCAGTATCCCTGGGAAGGGCAGAGCCCGAGGGAGTGTGAGGTGGTCCACAGGAGGCAGAGCACTCCAGATGGAACCAAGGGCAGGTGTGACCTTGAAGCTTGCCACCCAGGCCCTGCCTCCTAAAGACTTGACTGAGGATCAGCATTGTCGGAATCACTTGTATAAATGGACATAACCCAGACTCATAACCTTTAAAACCCTGGCAGAGCCACGTGCCCTTGGATCTTGGGACCTGGGCATTGGATCCCGTTTATTGGGAACCTCAGTTTGGTGCTCTGCCCAGTAAGTTAAAGAATGAGTGTGTGCCTGCTCGAGAGTGAACATGTGACGTGCCGAAGACAGCCTGCCTGTCTTCGTGGAAAGCGTGGAGCTCGAGAAGGTACACCTGCTGACAGGATGAGGCCGGAGCCAAGCTTGTTCTCCTCCACTGAAGTTGGAGAAACCACTGAATAAAGTCATGACTGGGACCTGACGCAGTTCCAGAGGTGCTTCCTGCACTGCAGTTCCTGGGCCTAGATGGTTCCTGGAGGTGTCTGGGGAATGAGTGTCCTGAGTTTGACCCCACTCATAAAAACTAAGAGTTGGCCTTTTTCTTCAGGTTTCTGTAATGTTGGAGTAATAATGAAGCAGAGTTCCCATGCGGAAGAGCACTCAGCACGAGCCCATGAGCACGTTCAGATGGATTCGAACAGCTCTGAGTGTTCGTTCATAAGCTTTTAGTTTTACTTCATTTTGAAGTTCACAGTTGAAGCTAGTAGTCCTGTGTAGAAAGTTATAAGGTGTTGAGTGAAGGAAACAGAGGGCAAGTTGCTCATGGTCTGGTAAGATTTCATATTCTTGGGATTTTGTTTTTGAGACAGAGTCTTAACTCTGTAACCAGGCTGTCCTGGAACTTAGTACATAGCCCAGGCTCATCAGGAATCCTCCTGCCTCAGCTTCTCAAGTGATAGGATTAAAAAAAATCAATTTTATTATTATGCAGGTTATGTATGTATGTAGTGTACGTTGAATATATCCCCACCTCCACCTGTCACGCCTCTGTTTCCCAGAGAGTTTTATTTCTGCTTCCATCTCATCAGTGTACACATGATTTTATGTGCCCATAAAGCCTAGGACCCACAAATGAGAGAACACACAGCAAAACACACAACATTGTCTTTCTGATGCTGGCTTAAGTCACTATTTCCTCTCTGGGATGAGTTTTCCTACCTTTGATGTAACTCCATCCTTCATGGCTGAAAAAATTCCATCACATTTTCTTGATCTGTTTTTCTGTTCTTGGAGACAGTGCAGCAGTAAACACTGACACACAGGCATCTCTGTCATGCCAACATGGAGCCTTTCAGACAAGTACTGAGACACGGTTTAGCTGGGTCATCAGAGTGGGTCTGTTTATAGTTTTGTGTGTTGCTGTCGTGGCTGGACTAGTTTGCATTCCCACCAGCCATGGTATGCACGTGCATGTGTGCCCGCCCATACGCAGTAAAGAAGGGGTTCCCTTCTGGACTAGTCTGTACCCCCACCAGCTGTTTACAAGAACCCTTCTGTCTGAATCCTCTCCGGCGTGTGTTGTACTTGTTTTCTTGATGACTGCCATTCTGACTGAGGTGAGAGTCTTGGCAAAGTTTTTATTTGCATTTCTCTGATGGCTGTTGATAATTTGACAGGTGCTGAAATTTGAAGTACCATGCCCAGGTACACCATGCCTGGCTAACATTTTTAACACGTCCTTTCTAGAAATTTTATTACATGTATGTATTTTTTTGTGTGGTGTGGACACACATGTGCAACAGCACGCAGGTGGAGTCAGAGGACAACTTGCTAGAATCAGTTCTCTCCTTATACCATGTAAACTTACGGCTTGGTTGACAGCAAGCCCCTTTACCACCCCCCCCGGCCCATCTCATTGGCCCCTGTTGTTGCTTCTGCCATAGAGAGAATTTAGATGAAATAAAATTTGATCTTATTTTGTCTTGAGTATCTGGTGAGACTAGAATATTTTATGGGAAGTGAAATTTTGTGTTATCAGAATTAAATAATCTTACTGTGTATGAGGGGGTACACATGCATGTGCATGCCACAGCATGCATGTAGAAGTAGGAAGGAAACTTGGGAGTAGTGTCTTTCCTTCCATCGTAATATCTCAGGATACAACTGATGTCTTCAGGTTTGAGGGACAAGCTGAACTCTTACCTGATGATTTATCTTAAGAACCTGGCTTGTGTTACCATAACTTTAAAGTGTCTAACTGAAAATTAATTGTGGGCCAGTGAGATGGCTCAGTGGATAAAAGGTGCTTGCCCCCAGCCTGGTGACCTGAGTTCAAGTCTCAGAAACCCTATAGTGGAAGGAGAAAGCTGACTCCTACAAGTTGTCCTCTGACCCCCCAACTAAACAAGTAAGTGTAACTTAAAAAGAAAATTGTGTGTGTTTTAATTTTAATTTATTTTTTAT